ACAAACAATTCTATAGCACAGTCTAGAAAAAAAAAGGAAGTTAAAATCTGTATTAAAGTAATAGTAAGTATATTACGGTACACATCAAATGTTCTACCAAATGGAGAAGGCTACATATGTAAATGATACCCCCCACACACACCGTGGCTCAGATGTAAGCCTGAGGGCGTATACGCTATGGTCCCAGTGGATAGCTCATTGCACAACTTTGTGTATAACAACAACCAAACAAGCATACTTACATAAATAACTAGGTCGAAGATGAAAGTAATATAAAACGTGGACGTGTTACTAATTTTAATGAAGACGATAAAACACAGAAAGTTAGAATTGTATCACTGCTGACACATTTAATTTAATGTGATACAAAATTCTGATGAGTCATTGTAAGTGTAATAATTACTAGACCACCCGTGACCCGTTGGGTCACCCACTATTCACAGGTTATGAAGAATTCAAGCTAATTTTAATATTGCACCGAAATGAAGGTTTATTTTGAGATATTTAATCAAATATTTCAATCCATTCGTGTTATTCATAATTCAAGAAAATATATTTGATTGTTGATCGGGAGTAAAAGTAAAGTCCAGTTCATTTTTCAAAAAAAAGTGAAGTCAGAGTTTTCAGGTATTGTGATGAATTAGTTCATTATGTTGTGGTTTTTCCTCTTAAACCTTCTACAAATAAGAAACAGTAACACTTTATTTTTTCTTCGAATTACCTACCATAACCAAGACACATTACTGAGAAATTCTTCCAGATCTTGTTTTTGTCATCTTACGCCTTTTAATGAATACGGGAACAATGACAGGGAAATAGATTTGAACGAAGAAGTTTCGTAAAGAGCGCGATCGGTAGTGTGATGTAAAATTACTCATGCTAGAAATTTTCATAAAAGTGACCCGAAAAACGGAGATAACTCGGTAACCCGTGGCCCGATTTTAACGAAACTTGTTTTATTCTGTTTCTATTCTCATTTCATTACCAATATGGCGCTATTATACGCCGTTTTTGCTGTATTTAATTACAGACAAGCAAACAAACAAACGATCTCAGAGTTTTAGTAGTATATAGATAGATATATATTGTGTCTGAGAATAAATAAGTAGTTAACATCAATGTTCCCTTTCATTTTTTCAATCCATGAGCGGAATGAATTTTTTCATGTGCACCAGTATCAAGGCAATGTGCGGATGTGCGCTACTAGTTTTTAAAGGGAGAGGGGGGGGGGGGTATTTTTAGACCATTGACCCTATTAGATCATTAGGCCGCTTTGCAATGCTACCAGCTGGTTATTTAGGCTTTAGGCCTATCGACTGCTAAGGTCATTAAGGCTGTTTACATGGTCAGACTCTTCACCATTACGGAGGATGTGCGCGGCACTTGACTGGTTCTTGTGCGGCCGTGCAGCCTAGAGGGGACATTGGTTAACAATCCAACTTAACTCCAAGCGCTGATTGCATATCACGTGACCTAGACTTCATATGGAAGATGGGGTGACATACTGGTTCTATTTTGTGCCACCAGAAACTGCAAAATAGTTCCTGTGCAACTACGAGAGGACAATTAATTTGGACAAATCGTTTATTTGTTTGTTTCAGAATTTTCACAACACAAAAGACTAACCGCGCTAGCCTTACCTAAATTGAAACTGAGAAACTAGAGGGAAGGAGCATGGCCAGGTGGATAAGGCGCTCGACTCACAATCTGAGGGTTGCGGGTTCGAATCCGCATCCCACCAAACA